TTTGCATGAATCTTTTGGTCCAACGAGATTGAGATGCCTTTTTGTATCAAATTCTTCCGAGTTCTAATCACGCTTTGAGCAATCTATTTTTTATTTCCTCCAATTCTTCGGATTTGGAAGAACTCAAACAGAGTGAGCCAAAACAAAGTAACCACCTAAAACAATCATATCTTCAAGAGTGATTGTTGATTTCCCGAAAGGAAACACAAAGGTTTTGGTCTCCGGACACCGTTTATCTTGCAAACCAAATCAAGGTCACATCAGATTTTGCATGTTGTGCTCATGATTACATCATGGATTCCGACTCTTTTTCAATTTGATTGGTGCAGAGGATACATGTGATCGACCCATTCTCGCTATGTATCTAGTGAGCGTATCCAACCATTGAATTCAACCTTCAATGGCAATTTCTAGAAGCCAAGCAAGTGGACAAGTTGTTGTTGTTCTAGAAGCTAAGCAAGTTGGCAAATTGCAGTGACAAGTTGCAGTGCAAAGAACAAGTTGGCAAATTGCCAACACTTCGATGTACAAATTTGTCCCCAAGAATTGTTGTATAGTGTATAAAAAGTGTGCACGTAGTGTGCAAAAAGTGTGAGCAAAGAGTGACAGAGAAGAACGGGAGAGGTGTGGTTGAAAAAGGTAGAAACAAGTTGCAATTTTTCTCCTCAAATAGTGAAATCCGCTGTCGTGGACATAGGCACATGGCCGAACCACGTAAATATTGTTGTTTTCTCGTGTGATTGTTTATTTGGTGTTTGCTTTTGGCACCTGGGAACAACAATCCGCATGCTTGGGGTTTAGTTTCTTCACCTTGTCTGATAGAGCAAATATAGGCAAACCATCTCCAATTGACTTCAGGTTTGGCCTCAAACTTGAAAATCTCTCCCAAAGCCAAATCTGAATCAATTGAAAAGGATCCCAAAGTGTCAATGTAAATAGTTCCTTAATCTTCAAATTGTTTGAAGCAGTTACAACCATCTATTTTAACAAGTTTAAGTCTTTGTAAAGATTAGCAAGAACAGCTGGTGCGAGAACGATTTTAGTACCTGAAGCTAGAAGAACAACAATGGTAAATACATGCTTGCTAACAATATCAAATGCGGGTGCGGGGAACACAGACCTCGTCAACCACACAGCAAGAAAAGCTTTGTGCCTGATTTTGCTGCTTGTTTACATGAATCTTTTGGTCCAACCAGATTGAGATGCCTTTTTATATGAAGTTCTTCCAGTTCTAATTGCACTTTGAGCAATCTATTTTTTATTTCCTCCAATTCTTCGGATTTGAAATAACTCAAAACAGAGTGAGCCAAAACAAAATAATCACCTAAAACAGTCATATCGTCAAGAGTGATTGTTGATTCCCCGAAAGGAAACACAAAGGTCTCGGTCTTCGGACACCTTTTTTGTGCAACTTTGGAAACCAAATCGTGGTCACTTCAGATTTTACATGTTGTGCTCGTGATTACATCATGGATTCCAACTCTTTTGCAATCTAATTGGTGCAAAGGTTACATGTGATCTACCCATTACAGCCATGTATCTAGTGGGCGTCTCCAACCATTGAATTCAACGTTCAATGGGCTTTCTTGGTCTTGGAATTGGGAGTTGCAAAGGAGAGAGAATATGATAGAAGGTTGATGACTATTCCTTTAGTCACAATGCAATTCGAAACTAAGAAACACGGACACGTGACACGACACGGGCACATGGACACGATACGTTTAGTTTTGCATATAATTTTATATATTTATTATGTGTCATATTTTTAAATCATTATTATGAATTTTATTTCATATTTAATTTTATCAAATTTATCAACTTTAGGTATGTTATAATAGTAAACAAAATTAAAATTTGAAGATCCTGAACGTGTCCTTTGCATGTCCGCAATGTGTCCGACACGGGTTCGGCATGTGTCCGTGTTCGACATGTGTTGGACACTTGTACGTCACCTCCGGAGAGTTGTCCGTGCTTCATAGAATAATTCTAATAAAATATATAGGGTAAATTACATTCAACTTCCCTGAGATTTAAAAAAACATACAATTAGCCCCACACTTTTGACATAATTACACTGACCTCCTCAAGGTTTTAACTCACAAAACACTCCAGTCCTTTTTCATCAATAATTCGACAGTCATAAGAATGAAAAAAATGATGTTATCATCTCTTTCCTACTAAAATGTATATTTATCTTTGTTTATTTCAGTGTCTACCACCACTGACATTAGTTTCGATCACTTCAACCATACAAAAAAGGAGGTTAATGCAATTATGTCAAAAATGTGGGATTAACTGTATTTTTTTCAAACCTCAAGAGAGGTGAGCGTGATTTACCCAAATATATATTTTACTTTTTTCACATCCTATGTTGGGTGCATATTGCCACTACCCTCTATACATAAGTGGAATCCTTTTGAGTTATGCAAAATAAAATGTTAGGGGTTCAAGTCCCACCAAAGTATTTGTTCTCTCACTATGGGCTCAAAGAAGGAGAAAACACTTACGCTCCATTTGTTTTGGCGGATAACATTTTTCAATGGAAAACGTTTTCCACAGGAAACTTTTTCTAGAAAATGTTTTCCTATATTTGGTTGCGTTCTTGAAACTAATGTACTAATAATTACATTAGTGGTGATAATAGTGGAGGCAGTGGAGTGGAGGTGTTGGGGAGTGCTGCGGCAGCGGCGGCAACAGTGGTAGCGGTGTGGTGGTTGTGGTAGCAACAGCGGTGATGGTGGTGGTGTGGTCGAGGTGATTGTGGTGGTGGCAATGTGACGGCATTGGTAAAACTTCAATTCGGAAAATATTTTCTGCCTTTAAAAAGTGGAAAACATTTTCTGGCCCAACTAGGCTTGTTTTCTGTTGATCATGAAAAATGTTTTTCATTGACTTTTGTTTTATGTTATACAAAACACCAGAAAATGAAGAAAACATTTTTTGGAAAACGTTAGCGTTATTGCATTATTCATTACAAAGTGCTTGATAAAAATTAAACAAAAAACAATTCCTGTTAAGCCCTTGGCTTGATAAAAGAGGACAAAATGCAAAAGTAAAACACCAAAAATACCAAAAAAACATCTTCATGGTCACTAGGAATCAAACAATAAACAAATAAACCATGTAAAAGAGAATTATCTATTGAAACAATCTAACCTCACAATCACTAGAGACAAAGAAGTGAGAAAACTGATCCAAGCCAAGTATAGACTGATTGATCTCCAAAATCTTCCGAAGAACCTAGGTTTGACGCACTCAGTCACAACAGATTTAGCTTAGCTATTTCACTTGAATCTTAAAACCTGAACCCCTTTTTTAAAAAAGGCTTCAAGGAGAAAACTCCTACTTAGTTCATCAATCTGAGAAAACCCCTACAGATTTAGCTTACCATAAGTACAACCTTCTAGGGGTGGGAATTTTCGACACGACATGATAACATGACACGAACCATACACGAATTTAGCGGGTTAGGGTTGGCCATTTTCCAACACAAAGACAAATATGACACAACCCAATAACACAAATAGTAAACAAATTAGGTTAGTACTCAACTTGCATAACACAATTGATATGGATAACCTGTTTAATAAAGAATTAATTACACATTATAATGTTATTTCCACAAAGGAGCAACATGACATTTTTGAAATCTTTATAAACTCCATGCAACTGATTTAAAACAGAATTTTAAGGCTAATTTAGTTTTTTTTTTTTTTTTCTTAAAGATAATTCTTTTTTTTCTTTTTTTTTTGGAGGGGGTCTACTACTTTAGAATCTATATAGTAAAAAAATATAATAGTATGATACAGCTTTTGTAAATATATATATTTTTTGATCAGCATATAGTTTTTGTATATTGAAGGGAATTGAGTTGAAATGAAATATTTTTATAAATAATTGTATCCAATAGAGATTAATTTTATTAAATTTAACTTGTGAACAAAAAACTTTTAATCTTTCCATACAATTGGTGTTTTTGACTATGGATGAAAGTTTTTACATGATAAGTTAACACAACACGCACCAGACATGGACCGAAATAATACAACACGATAACAAAAAATAATCAGCAGGTTGGATTAGTGTTCAGGTAATTCTAACACAACACGATGCAACCGACCCAACACGACACCCAGGCCTAATCCCTTACAAAGCTTCTAGTATATAAGTTAAAACTGCAACTCCATGGCCCATTTTGACATTGTTTGTGGAGCCCAGCCCACAACTTTTTACAGATTGGCTCTAAATTCATCATTAGGCTTATTGTATTAACTAAAACAAACCATCATCAAGTGCAGCACAAACTAGGTTGATCTTGGCTGACCTAGCAACTCCACATAAAATACAGGCCCAAATTTGGCCTGAACAAGCTCCAAGGAGATCCAAGCAAACTAAACTCAAGCTGATCAGTTCATTAAACAGCCCATTTAAAGATGACAGATAAGCAGCATATCTCTACAGTTAACAGCATTTGTATTTGATCCAATTGTAATGAGCTGGTTTCGGTAACATATTCATTGACCATAGATGAAAGCTTTCACTATTTCAATCCAAAAATACGTAAATAAGCATGTGACGCAGCTAAAACTGATGTAGAACACTGTAGGGGAAGAGAGAGAGAGAGCATGGGCCATAGCCCTATCACAAAATGACCACAACCTCAATCTCAATAATAATAATAATAACCCAAAGCTGCCTCATACAATGGAAGACTAATATTTATAGGCTAAAAACCCTATCAAAATAGGAAATTAAAACCCTAATAAAATAAGGAACCAAATATTAATAAAAATACTGACTTTAATAAGACTTTAATTAAAAGAGAAAATAAATAAAATACTAAGGACATAAAATTATAAACGAAAAAATAAGATTTCCAAGCAAAAATTTGTGCCTGCATGTTCTGCATCAAAAGCTGTATAATTGTTTTCAAGAAATTATTAGAGTATCTAGAAGCAGCAATTGAAAACAAGACAAGTGGCCAAATAAAGTATGCATACCATTTCCACTCGTTGCATGGGACTGATCTCCTGAGTTTGAAATAAATATTCCCTGAATTAAAAACAAGAACAAATGGTGAGCAAGATGGATTGCTTGCCAATAAAAAAAATGGACAGATACACATAAATGTTATCTGTAGGAAAAACATAAAAAGAAAAAACAATGATATACACCAAATAAAAGAATCCAACCTGCTGGCGGGCTCGCTGGAGCTCCTGGTCAAGTTGGCTCAGCTTCAGCCGACTACTCTCCAGCTGTTGTACATAGGCCTACAAGGAAGGAAAACAAACCCAAAAAAAAAAAAGAAAGGAAAAAAAAAAAAGATTTACGTTTAACTTAAATGGCAATGCATCAATAGATAATCATCAATATGCATTTGCCAATTACAAATAATGGTAAAATGACAGAGAATGATATTCAGAACAAAGCATTGAAAATTAGAAATGAGAAAACTTACTTAGAACAAAGAATTGAAATTTAGAAATGAGAAAACTTACTTTTTTTCTCAATCGGCTTTTTCTGGCAGCTTCACGATTCTGAGCAAGCCTTCTTAATGTCTGAAAATAACCATTATGGGGGAAAAGATTAGCAAAAAAAAAAGGAACTACCTGAACATTAATAGTCTAAATTAATTAACCTTTTGATCCAATGGTTTCTCCTTTGATCTGTCGCTTGAATCAGAGGCAGCATTAGCATTCAATTGAGCCATTTCAATCTGCCCAGGGGAATTATTAAATGTCAATTCACAACTAAACTATGCCAGCAGCCAGTGCTTCTAAACAATGAAGGGTTTTTATTTTATTTTATTTTTTAAGTACAATGCACTTCCAGCAAAAGACAAATTATACATTTGAAATCATAACAAAAGTCCTTCACAGCCAAAAAGATAGAATCTATACGATTATAAAAAGAGAAACAAGATAAATCAGCTCAAAATTTTGTTCCCAAAGTACCCATGTTCCCCAAAAAGTTAGGAAAATAAATCCAGTAAACAATTATTAAATCTGATATATTTGAGAATGTCTAGATAAAATCATCAACATTTAGGGAATGTTTGACCTTTTCTTTCCAAATTGTTCTCTCACCTTCTTCCTTTGAAATTACTTGGCTAAGTGTCAAGGTGCGCCCATCCAAGGGTCAACACCTTGATGCCACACACATTTGTGCCCTTTGGGAGAGCCAAAGACATGCCTAAGAAGTTGTTGGTGCAAGTGCAAGCAAAGGCCCAAGGCATAGTGCAAGATAGTCCACGACATGCCATGAAGCAAACTAGTCACCAAGTAACAACTTTAGGCCAACTTTTAGAAGGTCAAATGTAATCTTTTTGCCTTGTAAATTTTTATGTAAATACCTTAGTATTAAAGGTGTTTTGGGACCAAGAGTTGTAATTTTTCTATTTTTGTAGAAGTTTTAAAAATCCATTATGACTCCTCAAACATAGTGGATGTTTCCTTCTACCAGCTAGGAAATAGCTTGACAAGCTATATATAAGGAGGGGGTACCCAAGTGTTGAACCACACCACTTGTGCCGTTAATGAACCCCAACCTAGCTTATGGTAAGACAACTTTTATAGCACTTTTAGTGCATTGTTCAACTATTGTAATGCCTTCTTTTAAGTAATGAAAAGTTCATTTCGCCTATAAATTGTGCAAAGCCTTTCAATTGTTGCTTATTTTAATTTTGGCTTGTTGATTGATATTTTGTAGCTTATCTCCAATCTTGTGGCTCATCAACATAACTAATATTGTGTTTGTTTGTCTTTGCAAACCTTTCGAGCTTTATTGGCAGGCTTATGAAGGGAGTTAACTAGCGCCACACACACTTGCATATCTTTGTCAAGGCTTCCGCATTGCTAGTGTGTGACACTAAGGAAAGGTCTTAACCTATTAACTTCACCCAATTCCTCATCTCTCTCGTTATTTCATATTTAAGGTGAATTAAGTCACCAAAACACAAAGCTATCAAATGAAATGTTCTAAGTGCACAAAAATGTCATTTGAATTAATCCCCACTTATATATCTTTGAAATGTAGCTTACACAATTATCTTTTGACAATTTTTTTTTTCAAGAAAATCAATGCCTTTTGGCCCTTATGAACTAGTAACTTTTATGTGGCTAGCAAACTAAAATATCATTTGCATTGTCAACCCTTTAATACTGTTAGTTAAATTATTATTTTTTAACAAAACAATAACATAAAATATATATATATATATATATAATTAGAAACATGACTTGTGCCAACTATTTTGTGCTTATTGCAAGTGCCCTACCCACAAGTAAGCTCTGAAACTTATATCATTTAGACACAGATGTTTAAGATGCATCACCCTTAGATTTCTTTCATCTGTATCCACATCTGCTGAGGTATTACTTTGAGGACTGGCATCTTCCATATTTGACTCCCTACCGTTGTCACGATGATTGTCAGATACAGAAACTAAGTTTGGCTGTTGTCCATTTTGCAACTGTACTGTATGAGAACCCGCAACAGCAGCAGCTAAACTTGCATTGAAGGAAGCAAGTGACTGAACATCCAAAAGAGAGAAAATCTCAATGTGAAATAACTTTTAATTTATTTATTTATTATTATTATTATTTTGTGGAAATCACAGGCAAACAGGGAATAAAACCAAAATCACCTGATTAAATGTGCCAAATTGGAAATCAGAGCCTCCAACTGGACTACTTGAAATTGTTGGCTGGGATACAGGGTCTAAAAGACAATAAATTGGTCAGTCAAATAATTTGAGCCAAATTATGGGGAGGAAACAAAAGAACAAGAGACAAAAAATAAATACATAAATAAATAAGCAGCAAAACTAATCACTGTGTCAGTCCTTCATATAAAAATAAAATAAAAGTAATGGAACCCTTCAAAGCAAATTCAAAGAGAAGCATGTAAGTAACATGCACAATTAAATCAATAAAACGATGAGTGAGCAATTTATATGTCAGCAGTACTGTAATTTTAGAACATAAGCATTTCAAAATCGTAAATTTAGGCAGAGTAACCCATCAACAAGGACTTTGGGCTGTAGAAATTCCCAAGTTCAATCACCGAGTGACGTGGAGATCTTCTTGACATGAAACAACGGAAATTCACTATGGTTCAGGAAATTCTGTGTTCCTAATTTATTTTTAAAGTTGGATACTCATAAACCCTAACTAAAATGGACATGTTTTAGATCTTCTCTAGGATGCATGGACATGCTTCCTAGGGTGTAGCATCCATGCCAGGCACTTGTCATTTATAAAACTAGACATTATAAACATGTGGAGCACACGAGTAACGTGTCTATCACTAGGACACCTACAGACATATTCATGGTCTTGGTACAAGTTTGAAGAAAATAAATAGGGATTGAAGATTGAAATTAGGGAGGGAAAATTATGAATTCATACTATTCCCTCCTAAAAATTTTTAAAATTGAAACTTTAAAGTCTTGACAACTTCTAATTTGCTTGTAAATACATTAGACAATACCAAAAGTAAGACATTAGAGCCTTCTCTTCCTACTTTTTTTTTCCAACATATTTTGTCTCATGGTAGCCTACTCTAGTCCCCCTACAAAACTTTTGTTGTTGGGTTAACCATACACTTCACATGTTTCTCAAGATTCATATGGCATCATCAAATCATACATCTTGGATAAGAATCTAATATGAGCTACATTTTTATTTATTTATTTATTATTATGAACAAAGATTAATTGTACTTCCCCACATATAATAATAAGAAATTTATTCATTATGTAGACTAATTATGCTCATTTGTTTTGTAAAATTTGAATTATTTGATTACATTTTCATAGATATTTGCTTGTCTCGTGGCCCTTTCATATCTATTTCTTGATTTTTTGAAAAATGCCATGTTAGCTTGTCCGTACCGTGTCATATTCCTGTTCTATTCCCCCATTTGTGCTTCCAGGGTGTTCCAAGCTCACCCTATTATATATATTTGTTTCTCCCCCTCTCGTTAAATGACCTTGGACTCTAATATAAAGAACTCAATCCCCAATTTTAAGGAACTCAAATTCATAACATTTAAGAAAGAATATGAATATTTGAGGGGTTCGTACTAATGGGCCTGCAGCCCCATAATGCAAATTATGCAATTAAAAGAAATAAAAACAAGATGGAAACCAAGTTCACAGCAAGAATTCAGGAGGCAACAAACTGATGTGATACATTAAATTATTGCAGAGTTCAAACAAACCAAGAAATGCACGAGTTTTGAAGCTCATCGTTGATGAAACACCAAAAGTGCTAGAACATATGTTTATCCCCGGGAACATTAATACTATAAGTACATACTTCTACTAATGTTAGCAGCATCTACTATGCGAAATCCATGAGATTGCTCAAGCGCCGCAAAGTCGGAAATTCGAGAAGAATGTGGTGTGCCCCCCTCAGTGCTGCTGAAAGTGACAAGTCATCAGAGCCACAAGATTGACAAAACAGACTAATGTAATTCAGAAAGTTAAGTCAAAAAAAGAAAAGAAAGTGACAATTAGAACACTTCTCTAGGAATTTAATTTATTAACAAAACTACCAATGGTTCCATTGACCAGAAATATATCTGTTTCCTAATGCAGCCAATATGTACACATTTTATTCGTAGGTTAATGGTAGACGAAATTTCTTTTCTATATTAAACCATTTTCATACAAAACAGATTCAACACACATTCCTGAAATTTGATCCACTACATACCAGATTTTGTTGGAGAGACAACAAGACAAAGCAACATAGAAACTAAAATTCACACTCAACTAAACATGTTCACATTTTAAGGCATATGTAAAAGACAAAATATATTATCTTCAATCTATTTAAGCTAAAAATCATAATATGCACAATCCCATCAAGGCAAGCATGCATGCAAACACAAGCTCAAGCACAGAGATGAGAGATCATGACTACAATTTTGATAGAATTGCTTTAATTTGGTGAATAGTTGACTCGGTTAAAACTTGATGCGCACATCTATAGAACAGATTGACAATTATCCCATACAGGGTGTCAATCAGCATCAATCACTTTAAATTTGTAAGAGTTAATCTGAACAATGCTTAACCTACGTTACCACATAATGTGCAGAGTTCGACAACTATTGTAGATGAGGTTGATATGGATGGCCAGAGTTTCCTTCTAACAAATATGGTATTAATGATATAAATATTTACTACATCTGTTCCTAAGTCGTTGTCTAACAAATAAAAAATATATAGAGATGGATTGCATCAATTGACCATCCCAATATTGTTTCTTCTGCTAGCCTTACCTTTGGGGGTGTTTGGGAAGAAAGATTTTAGCCTCTTTTTGGCTAAAATTCACAAAAAGACAAAATAGACTAAAATAGCCAATAAGACAAAATATCACATCAAACCCATAATCATTTCACTTTTTCTCTCACAAATATCACATCCAACTACAAAAAAATCCAATCATCTTTCCAAAAACAAAAATTTAGCCTACTAAAATAGCCAAAAACTAAAATAGCCTGCTAAAATAGCAACTTCCCAAACACCCACTTTGTATTCCAACTAAAAACAATTGTTTAAAACTCAAAAGTAGCAACTTTTTAATAGATAAAAATTATCAATTGTTGCTAACTTCCTTCAAAGAAAATACGATTATTTTTTAATAAAAATTGCAAGTTGTTCTCCATAAGCACATTCATTGCATGACAAGGTCCAGGACGGACACCCCTCCTCAACTTTTCAAAAATTACATTTTAGTCTAAGGTTTTGAAAATGTTGTTTCTATTTATTTCTCAAAAATTATGTATTCCCTAAATTTTTTTCATTCTTCTTTGAATAAACATGACACAACATTGACTGGAATATGAACATAGATGGACTCCTTATTATCTTCACAAATAAATTTAAGAAAGATTTCCTTTTATTATGTGTATTTTATTGGCATTTTTCATTTTCATTTTTTTATTTCTTATTACTTTAGATTTCTATAGATTTGAATGGTACGATGGTTTTATTGTAATGATATAAATGATATTGAAATAATTTTGAAATATTGATAATTTTTTTCCTTCGAAATCACACCAAACTAAACATTGTGTCCCAAATCGATCCGACTCAATAATTTGCCTTAATTTTGGGCCCCTCAACCAAACCAAATTCCTAGCTCCGCCACTTATCAAGACTAACTGCAAAAGTTATTCAAGATTCAAACAAATAACTAGCTGATAACGATGAATAGAGTAATCATAACCAAAATTATCATGTTAGCTCAACACAAATTATCAACAAAAAAAAAAACCTTAATCAATCATACAAGATCAAGAAGATTGACCAGACAATAAATTTTACATGGTATTTGAAACAGGCATTTGGGGATTGAAGCTCGGCATCACTGCTGAGGCACTTCTGCTATCTTCTGCACGAACCTTGATTGTTCTATTGCCAATAAATCACCACTATCACCAACACTACCTTGAATCCCACAACCAGAAAACATAAATCTTTAAACCTTTGAACAAAACCCAACAAGAACAGAAAACCCAGAAGCTATCACAAACTATGACCACCAGTCAAACCAGAAGCACCAATAATTCAGTAGAATATTATAACAAAAAGAAAAATTAAAATATTCCATCACAAACAACAAAAACTATAAACCCAATTCCAAACCCAAATTAAACAGCCAAGCAAACCTTCAAAATCAAATAAATCACCTAAACAACAAGCCTATCCACACATACCAAGATAGCAAACCCTATAAACCCTTAGTTCTTCAAAAGTCATCAAACGACAATTAACAGAACTAAAAGTACCCGAAAAATACTATATTTGGAGCAACCCAACACATACCTCATCAAGGAGTAGATAATATGCAGCTTATCACAGCTCAAAAGTTCTGATTTTGAGGGAGTTAAAGCAATACCCAAAAGCTAGAACTAACCGAAACCCTATTTTGAAGCTTTGAAGATAAAACCCGACTCTCGACTCTTATTGACTTTGACTGCGTTACTGTGCCTTTACACATACGACTTTCTCTTCCACAGTACATATTTGGGCTGTCCAAATTATCCATTTAACCGAATAACCAACCAAATCGATTTGTTTGATTTGGGTTGGATTGGTTTTAGATTTTTAAATTATCAAGTCTAAATCGAACTAATCAATAACTGAACTTATATATATATATATACACAACCGAATTTGGGTTGGTTTGATTTTAGATTTTTAAATTATTAAGGAGTTGTTTGGGGTGTCCTAAGTGTATTTTTTGTCTTTTTGAAAAAAAAAGTTGAGAGCCAAAATATAGATGTTTGAGTTAACTTTTTGACTTTTTATAAAAAAATGTGTATTAAAAAATTATATAAATTAGTGTGTAGAGAAAAATTAATATTAGGAGTTGTGCAGCCGTACTTTTTGACTTTTGGTGAATAGTGATAATTTTTTAACTTTTTGAGTAACTTTTTAGCTTTTTAATTTTTTTTCAACTTGCCAAACTTGGCCTAAATCTAAATCAAACTAATCAATAACAAAACTTATATATATATACACCAACTAGGGGTGAGCAGCGGATATACCGATCCGCCAAAACCGACTGAACCGAACCGATCCGCCATATTTTGGACGGATGCGTGATAACGAGCGGACGGTTGCAGATTGATTTTCTCCAATCCGCCAATTTGGCGGACGGATGGCGGATTTGAGATTCCTTTGGCCGCAACCGAACCGCCAAACCGCGAGTATCCCTAATAATTTATAAGACTTTATGTTTTCAATTTGTAAATATTTTGTTTGTGTTTTCAATTGAAAAGGAGTTTAAATATTCTGTTGAAAAAAAGTTTTCAACTTGAATTTATGTTTTGAATTGAAAAAAATAAACGTATTGTTTATCTATATTTTTTTATTTTTAAATTTAACTCTAAAAACAATAAATAGAAAATATGATATATGCTGGTTGGTTTTTGTTTTCAAAAACATATATAGATGTAACAATACAGAGACATACAATCTCTACTAATGCCCTGTTCATGGTTTTGGTGATCTGAATTGTTATTATATTTTAAGAACCACAGATTGTAATACTTTATGTGGATAAATCATGTTGTGATTGTAATATGTGGATGAGTCATGCAGTGATTGTGACATTTTAAAATTTCAAACTTTCTTTTTTTGGATGAGACATACAGTGATTGTAATAGTTTTTAAAGTCATTGACTGTAATATTTTATTTCTTTTCTTTTCTTTTCTTTTTTTTTTTGAGGAAGTGCATAAGTTGAATTATGTTGAAAATTTATAAAATCTTAAACCGCCAAACCGATTCGCATCCATCCGCCAAACCGCTCAATCCACATCCGCCGGATTGGCGGACGGATGGCGGATTAGAGGTTCCGTAGCCACAACCGACCCGCGCCCACCCCTACCACCAACGATAAGTTCGTACTATATGTGGGTACATATTTTAAGATTGTCATCCCTAGAGGCATAATACGATAATATCGAAATTCGAGATATCTAAATAGAAGATAAAAGTCTTAGAGGATGTTAGACTACTTATTTAGGTAAGATTGGACTTTTAAGAGAGTTGATCCTAATTTAAATTAGAGGAGTGTTGGATAAGTGATATCCTTGTAAAATATAAAGTCTTATGAAGTAAAACTTTTAGGAAAAATTGAACACTGATCATTATATAAAGAGGGCACCCCCTTTGAGTTCAAGGTATATTCTGAGCTACTATTATTTTGTGCTGATATCTTTGAGAGATAAGTTTGCTGACTTGATCGTCAGAGTGCTCCTAGGTAGACGAGCCACCGGTCTTGTTATCTTCTTGTATGCAGGTGTTGGACTTCTTCACTCTTGCAGGTACTTTACAACTTAGTTTTCAGAATCTCAAAGAAGAGAATTGATCTAGTTATGAGGTCATATTTTAACACCCGCAATTTAGTGTCGTCTATGGAAACTTAGTCGAAATAGATGGCCAATATCGTGCAAGATCAACGTGTCGGCGATGACGAGTTCAACAAAGTTGGAAAATGTGTCGACATTAACGAAAAACAAGAACAATGATATGCAAAATGCAGTGAACAATGAAAACCCTTCCAGAAGGGATAAATGCAAAGATAAGGGACATGAGAACTCCTGAGGAGATGAAGACAACCTTCAAGTATGGAAGGATTGAGTTACTCGAAAAGATCGGCTTAAGTGAGCAGATCCTAGAAGACAAGACAAGACCTAGATGAGTAGGTCTGTGAAGCGAAGAATTCTCCCTAGGTGAGCAGATCCCAGAAGACAAGACATCGGCTTAAATGAGTGGGTCCAAGAAGAGAATGGATTAGCCTAGGTAACTAGATCCCAGAAGAAAAAAGTTCAACCTAGGTGTGCAGATCCCAAATAAAAGACTTTAGCCTAAGTGAACCGATTATAAAAGATAAGACCTTGACCTAGATGAATAGGTCCGAGAAGACAAGAGCTCAGCCCAGGTGAGTAGATTCCAGATTCAAGAAGACAAGACCTTAACCTAAATAAGTAGATCCGAGAAGAGAAAATATCGACCTAGATGAGTAGATCCCATAGAAATGAACTCACTCTAGATAAGTAGATCTAAGAAGATATGACCTCACCTTAGGTAAGCATATCCAAGAAGACAAGGCATTAATATAGGTTAACAAATTTGAGATGAAAAGAGCTCGACCTAGGTAAGCAATTTTGAGAAGATCAGAGCTTACTTGAGGCAAACAGAGTTGAGATAAACAATGCCTACCCGAGATTAGAGATTGCCGAGGCCTTGGAATATGGCTTCATGAAATTTGGAGCTTAATAATGCTGATAACCTTAGTTGAGGTTAACAACAAATCATAGGGAATGACCATTAAAATGAAATCGAAATGAACGACCCTTAATTGAACGGAATGACCCTTGAGTGGGGAATGACCCATAGCGACCTTGGTTTTGACCAGTCTCTTGTGGTGTTTCGGACTCGGGTTCGTATGGTTTGGATGGTGGTTCACGTCTTGTTTCCCTTGTCTTCCTCTTAATGTTGGTTTTTGGGTTGTAGTTGTGTGTTTGGAACAGGTTGGTTGCTTGTTTTTCTAAAATTTTGTTGCCCAGAAATTTACCTCTTCGCTCGAGCAAGGCTTCTTGCGCTCGAGCGAGCTCTATGAAAATGTTTCTTCGCTCGAGCGAGCATTCTTACGCTCGAGCGTGCGTTCTTACGCTCGAGCGTGCGTTTGCATCTCTGTAAAACCTGAAGGTTGGTGTTTTTCGCTCGAGCAAGCTTTCTTTCACCTGAGCGTGCTTCTGCGTTGCAGACTTAAAGGTTTGCATTGTTCGCTCGAACGAGCATTCATTCGCTCGAGCGAGGCGACCTTTTTGTGTCTGGTCCCTCGAGTGAGAACTCCTTCGCTCGAGCGAGCCTATTCATATCAGATCGTGAATGTGACATTTTAAGTCACTTTCAGCAGCCCATTCTCTCTCTCAAACTCTCCAAAAACGCAGGTATTTATACTCTCTTTCTAAAACTCACATTCTCTCTAAGATTTCATCTAGATCCATTGTGTTCTTGACCCTAGTGTCTTTGGGAATAAGGTAAAGGGCTTCAAGAGCTTCATGTTGATCCAAGTAAGAGTTGATTTTGTTATCTTTGGAGTTTCGATCTTGCTTGTTCGTCTTCTACACTTGAGGTAGGGATTTTCTACACTCTAGTATAGTTTTTAACTTAGTTATTTGCTATTGTGTATAGATAATGAGATTTGGATGTGGTTTGGACAAATCTAAGATTTGGGTGTAAAATGAAAAGAGGGGTTCTTGATGTATAAGAGATATTTGAGTATGGGGTTTGACTATAAGACCTCGGTATACCAAAATAGTTGATTTTGGGTATTTGAGTCAATATTGGAAAAATGGGGGACTTTGCCCTAATTTGATAAAATGATTATTTTGTATAAATAATTGGAATTAACATTGAATATGTTAAATTGGATGATTATTAATATAAATGGTGATATTGGATATGTATTATCTCACCTATGGAAGTTTTGCATAAACTATTAAATCCGATGTTGAATATATCTTGGAAATAATTGTATTGGGTTATCGGTGGAGGATAGCTATGATTGTTATAGAAATTGTATGACGATTGGGCGATTTAATGATAATCTATTGTTGGTGTCATTGAATGTGACCATGTTGTAAATACATTGTATATGTATGTTTATTGGGAGGAGAAAGGGGATGTACTCCATAAAATGACCATGCTATAAATACATTGTATATGTATGTTTATCGGGAGGAGAAAGTGGATGTACTCCATATATGATTATGTTTATAAATACATTGTATATGTATATTTGTTTGAGGAGGAGAAAGAGGATGGACTCCATTTAAAGTAAGTTGGCCAGAGTGTTCTAGGTGAAAGACCCGAAAATATATATATAAATGGGTGTCGGTTCTCTCAGACGAAATATCCATAAAATGGCAAGTTTGAAGTGCTTATGAGTGTGTTTTGCATAATGGGAGAACCATTGAGTTGTAGTTTCATTTTGGTTGTTGAAGGATAATGAATTTAACTCATGAATTGAGTGACATATATGAACTGAATATGAATTGAAGAAAAATGGAATTAGATTGGCCTTAGTGGTAAATGGATGTTTAGGCCTTGTGGATGTTTCCATATCGGTATTGTTTATATACGTGGTATTTATACCTTTGCTAAACTTCATAAATTGTGTTAGATTATTTCTACTGGGCTGTTGGCTCACCCTATATGGGAATATCATTTTTCAGGTACAGATGAGGTGTTTTCTCCAAGACAATAGCGTGGATGGATTTTCAGGAAGCATGAGCTTCTTAATTATGTATTGTTATGTGTTTGTTGGTATTTGTAAAGCCAAGGGCTTGTGATGTAATGAGCGAGACTCAATTTGTGTAACCAAGCAATGACTTGGAAAGATGTAAGCCTACATGGCATTTAATTGTTTGTTAAACAGTAAACTCTGATATATGAAAGTATGTTGTTTCTCATATTTATTCCGCA